CTCCTGTTCTCTCCCGTGCTCGCACAACGGCTGTACGTACACTCGAGGGAGCTCAGGCGTGTGCCCTAAGAATTTGCCTAGGAGTACCTCGATGCACTTCAACATGGGGCACTATTGCAGAAGCACGTGCTTGTTCAGCTTGTGTTTATCTTCAACACGAACCACTACGAATACATCTGAGGCTACTGACAACGCATCGAGGCCATCCATTGGCAGACACTTTTAACACACGAGCCAATGCTGCATACTCAGAAGTCGTTATGTCGCACCGAGATCTGCTGCCTTCAAATTATGCACCACATGTTATCTCAGACATACAAAACCACTCTGGACGATTCCTAAGCCGATCATGCGTCTTTGGATTCCAAGAATAACAAAGAAGTAAAAAATATCAACTGCTGGTCTTAAGCATTTCACTGTCGTATATTGACTATATGTACGGATATACAGTACACATTTTTGCAGATGGCTCTGTCACGCAGACCTCCTCAGCAGCAGCTTTCACTGTGCCTCAAATGGGAATCACTCAACGCTTTAAAATAGCACAACAGACATCATCCACTGCCACAGAGCTGACCGGCATCCGACAAGCTGCATGCTACATTTTGCAGCAGATTCCAGCGAAATAGACATTATTTTGCGACTCCAAGCCGGCACTTCAGCTAATTAGAAACTACATGAAACAAGACACCGCGTACAGTTCTCTGGTGTATGACTTAATGAATAAGTTGAATAAGGCATTTCAATCCGGACATACCGCTGCGTTGCAATACATTCCCAGTCATTGTGGCATAGCTGGGCATTCGCTAAATGGCACACACTAGTGGCGAGGTGATATCAATTCACTTTTCCCGATATAACATCAACGCCTTGCTGTTCAAAGTTATGAAGACATCGATGCAAGCACTATAGAATTATCCGGATTATCGCCACAAGCTCATTTACAGGCTTGACTCTCGTGTTTTTTGCCTTCCGTTCCGACTAAGGAGAGACACACACAAAGTGGTTCTAAGAAAGAAAGCAAAAGAAAAGTGAGCCACGTAACTGTATGCATCATGGTGCGACACCTCAACAGTAGCTCACAAAAGATGGGGGTGAAGAGGGATTAAAAGAATAGGATTAAAGGTATATATAGAGAGAAAGATGCGCTAAGCCAGCGAGCGAGGACATACCGAGGGGATAGGAGAGATAGGAAAGATGGAAACACGGTCACAGGAGTCCGAGGACAGGGCACCACTTGCGAGAGCTCTTGTCGGCGTCAGGAGGTGGCGTAGGGCAAGTACATTGGGTCAGAGCTACGCTGTCGTCGGAGATCGGCGTCAGGAGATGACGTAGGGCCAGCCCAGTCGGCCAGAGCTGCGCTGACGTCGGAGATCGCAAGGGCACAACCGGTCGGCACGGAATCCAGCGAGCGAGTCTAAGGAGAGACCAAGAATCGCTACTACATATACTGTGGCTGGGTGTTGCATACAAGGGACGATACCTATGCATGATTGGACAAGAGCGAAATCCTAACTGCAACTTGTGTAACACGCCAGAAACTATTCATCACATCCTGCGGGTGTGCCCTTTATACGCAGTTGAAAGACTATCTCTTAAGTGCCTCACAGAAGACCTAGACTGCCGACCCTTTTCGGAAGAGAAACTTTTGGGTGCTTGGGAACGTGTGGATCACGCCCAACGCAGTTTAAAGGGCCTGCTCGCATTTCTAAGCAAGACAGGTTTAGATTCCCGTTTATAGAGAATCTGCTAATGTAGAGACTTTTGTGCGTGTACTACACCGAACGAGACATTGCGTGTAGTGACTCATTGTGCTATACCACGATCACCCCTCATCATACCCTTCTCTTTCTTTCCCTTTTTTCCTTACCACCGTGAGGAGTAGCAGGCCAGAAACCCGCTTCCAAGGCCGACCTCTCCTCCGCGTTTTCATTCAACACCCTCTTCTTCTTCTTCTTCTTCTTCCTCCGCCAGGCAGGCTCGGTGCCAATCACCTCGGAGGGCCGTTCAGCTCATACGTTCATTCTAGTTCGCGCAGTTTTCTGTAGCACGCACAGGATTACGCAAGGCATCATTGATGCACGGTCGATCAGCTGACACCACCATCCTTCGAACTGCGACAAAAAGTGAGGTAGCGAACATTTAGCAGTTCGTATCGTTTGGGGAAGTACTTTGGTACGCTATACATTCATTGGACGATGAAGAGTCAATTCGGTGACAGCGGCACGGGGCGTACAGCGGTACGTCCGATCTTTTCTTATGCGAGTTCACGGGTTGACCCTCCTCCGACCGTCATCTTGGATTGCACGGCGCGCCCGTGGGCATTGCAAATAGAAACCGCATACCGCGTTTTTTTTTTTTTGAGAGCGAAAAACGCCACGCGCGCAAATTCTTCAATTGCCGTTGACCACACGGGCTTCTATAACAACGGTAGGCAACATATTTGAGGGCTTTTTTCTCTCTTGCTCTGTAAAGGTGAATGACCAGCGCGTATATTCAGCGCGCGACACGTAGGTGACACATCAGAGGCCAGATTGTGAGCGTCTTTATCAATGTTCAAACCACTGTCATTTTTACCGCGCCATATCGACGACGACACTGTCAAGTTATGAGAATGCGGGCTTCTGCGCAACAGACAATTTGCGAAAGCTAGTTTACCAAGATCAAGCTTACGCCCAGCGACTCTACTTAAAAAGCCCCGCCGCGGTGGTCTAGTGGCTAAGGTACTCGGCTGCTGAATCGCAGGGCGCGGGTTCGGATCCCGGCTGCGGCGGCTGCATTTCCGATGGAGGCGGAAATGTTGTAGGCCCGTATGCTCAGATTTGGGTGCACGTTAAAGAACCCCAGGTGGTCTAAATTTCCGGAGCCCTCCACTACGGCGTCTCTCATATTCATATAGTGGTTTTAGGACGTTAAACCCCACATATCAATCTATCAATCTACTTAAAAACACAAATGCAACACTGGCAAGACATTTTTCTTAGGGTAATTGAAGCCGTCGTATTTCAAGATATTGCTACGTGCCCTGGTATCTTTTTCACATTATTTTAGTCATTCTTTGCGGTCACCCAGAGGCACCCGCTGGCACCGTGGACGATTCCGTTTCGGTTTCGTCCATGACAAAAAGATTAACGCTGCTTGTATTGGATGCACAATGCTGAAGAGAAAGCGGTGTCCTAGCTTATGCTATCACCATAAATTTTGCATAGTTTCTCTATCTTCTTACACTATGCTTCTGACGACTTTTTTCGTTGTTCATGTTTATTTTTCTCCTCTTCTCTGTCATCTTGATCTTACCTCTTGCTTGCTTCCTCCTTCTTTCTATTCTTTTATTTTTCTCTCCTTTATCGTCTCCGCATTCAATTATATTTCTTTATATGCTATGTTTTACCCTTTTCTCTTCACCTTGGCCTCCTCCTTGTCATCACCTCTCTCTTCCTCACACTCCCTTATCTTCCCCGGCGCCTTGCTACACTATACTGCATAAAGCTATGCTATCTCCTGCTAGCGTTCCTGGATAGCAGTGCGGTACTGTCGCCACCTTCACATCCAGGGCGTATTGGTTGGTTGGTTGTTCCTCGGAGTCTTGGTGCAACCCACCACGGGGGATTGGTTATCAAACGGACGGTGCCTCATTTGTGAGATCGAATTGTTTCCCCAGCCGGGCTATCTAAATAAAATGTTTAAACAAAGAACCAATTGGTAAACGATAGATTAGAAATAAAATAAATAGAGCTAATATAAAAACGAGCAAGCTAATATAGTTTGAAATAAAGTGAATTTATGCCTCAGCTTAACATTCTATTAATTTCGTCGCCTTCAAGAAATCACATACGGCCTCGCAAACGTTCCTATCGCTAAATTCCTTTTCAGTTGCTCTATAGGAAAGGACCACCGGACAGAATAAATTTAAAGCCAACCTAAGGAGAGGTTCTTCTAACAGTCTCATTCTTTGGTTTGTATATAACCTGCATGTTAAGAAGAAATGATGAAGGGATTCACTCTCGTTGCATTGGAGGCATAGGGGAAACTTTGCCAGACCAGACCTATGTATATAAAAATTTAGGGGGCAGACTTGGCGTAGTAGTCTCGTAACTGATATCTCCGCCATTCTAGAGGAGCACCATTAATTTTTCAAGGGGTACTTAAGATGAGAAAAATCAGATGCTGCCCAACAAGATTTTTCAAAATGATCTGATATGACAAGTTTTTCAAAGCGTGCCACGGTAATAAATGCTAGCATCAGAAATATGGAAATTATGGAGTAATTGTAATTGAATAGGTGTTCTTAATACCAGTACCTCAGGAAGGTTAACTTGTAATGTATCCAAGAGCTTCTGTACGAGGATGACTGGTTGACGCCTTAATCTACACCACCGTTGGTTATAAAAGAATGTCGGCTCAGTAATGAAAACATACTGTGACCCATTCTGTGAGGATGCACATATTTTTAGGAAGGTATGATCTGCTAGTATTTGCAACCTAACGTGAAGAGAAGGCAGGGGTGCTTCTTTATATAAAATATAATTGCAACGAATTCAGCAAGCCCAAAACAAACGTAATGCTTCGTGTTCTAGCAGTACAAGTGGTCTAATTTTGTAGGCAGGTGCTCCAGAGAACAAGACAGAGCCAAACTCCAATATTCCCATCACGCCACGCGCATTTTTTTGCAAAAAAATTTTTATGTCTAGTTCTCTGGTGCAGCGGTGTTATTACAAGCCACACTGGGGAAATCTGTATTCGGGGAGCGAATTGGAACACGCCAAAAGAAAGAGTGCTTTGAACAAGGTGAAAACCAGTGGAAAAAATACAGAAAATGAACATGCCAAGACAAAGTGCCGGTTCATTACGATTTCAGTTTCAGAGACAAATTATGACATGCTCAAAAGCCTTGCTGTTAAAAGTCTGCTTCACAGATATTCCTTGCTTATCAATCTGCACTACTTTCAAGGCTCCATCTTTGTCTTATACTGTGTTATGAATAACACATGACCCAGGTCTTTTGCTAAAGAAGAGTACTTTATTATTGGGAGATTAAATTTTATGTATTAGGTATAAAATCCGTTAATATTGCAGAGTGCATTCAAACACACTGTATTGACCTGTCAGTGTCAGTCCATCAGATAAGTTAATCTAGCTGCACAACAGTGGTTGTACGCTTATGACAACACAAACAAGACACATCAAACGCATAGCAATTTCATACTGTCTTGCTCAACTGTATGGCTTCACATTTAAAAGGCACACAGGGTTCACAATCCCAAAGATAAACACATCACCTAGGACATTCTACTTAGCCTTTACACTTACGATTCGGACTATCCCTTCAGCTGCATTGGTCACAATAATGTACCATTTTTTTCCGGTTAAACTCTTCGTTCCATTGATTTTACGAGCCTTACAGACTTGCCAGGAAGAAAACTTCCTTAAGAAGGATGTTATGTAAAGTGCTGTTTTTGGACAAATTCTTTAAAACTTTGACAAATTATTAGCCTTTATTTCACACAAGCAATGCTACTAAGCCTGTCAACATACAGCACCAACCTGTACCCGCTGGTTCAAAACTACGCGCCTTTAAGAAAAAAATTGTACAGAGGACAGTCGCTGTTACACACGTCTGTCCAGATCTCCTGTGAACATCCTGTAAGCCAGAAAATGCACACAACACCAAGAAAATGTCTGCGCTTTCCAAGTTGGTAAAACAAATGAGTAACAACTCGTTGCCAAATAGTTCATCAGACACAGCAGTGGCTGTATGAGCTGACAATGAAGTGAAAGTACCAGTGACCTAACCTTATTTAAGCACATGCCCCTGAACATTTCCCAGCGGGCACACAACACAATATGCCATTCTCAACTTTTCTGTAAACACGTGGTGTCAGATGAAACAGTGTGTGTTCGTATTAAATTCCACTCTTAGAGTGATAAAGTGAATTGAGTCTTGTGCATATAGCTTTGGCTGACATTTAAAAGACCAGAAATAATCAGCAGCAATTCTTCATTAGCATCTTAAAGCACTGATAGTTGCACACAAAACTAATAGTAGAGCCCCGACACAGCACATGTCCTTTCAGTCATGAACAAATTTTGCACACTGAGGGTACATGGGAGTTATTTACTCCACTGCTTACAGTCACAAAAACAGCAGCTTATTCTACAACAGTGAACTGCTGTGCTAGAAAAGGACCACTTTTCAATGCAAATGCCTGAAATTTTCAGTCATGCCCTCATCATACCGTTTATTTTATTACTGTAACAATTAGCATAAAGAGTGCATAAAAAATGAAACGATGTTCAATGATACCACATGCGCACTATCACACATGGTCAACATGAACGTAAACTCACTCTGTTTAATGTGGCACAGAAATGGTGCAGAAAAACTAGTGCATTTTTCGATGTTTGATCACATACATTGCAATGGTACAATTGTGCTGACCTTCATAATGTTCACACTTCCAACTTGTGGATCGTTGCTTGAAATATTATCTGGTCTATATTTTACATCACAATAATTTCACTTCGATAAAGAGCTATGCCATGATCACATAAAAAAATTAGCAGAAGTTAGTAAATAGAGATGAAAAGCACACGAGTTTTATGTCACAGTATATGTAGAGACAACTTCATTTACAGCCTTTACAATCCCACATTGATCTTTATGTGAGAATTTGCACTTTCTACACATTATTCGAGGTAAGTGATCTCTATAGCTCACACAGTTGTCTCCACTGCTTAACAAGCAGTGTAGTCACAAAAAACTGTTATTGACTGCTTTTGCTGGTGCAGAAGCTGGTCTTGTATGCCTACAAGAGTGTCTGCATTGCAGGAGCCAATATAATGAAGTGTAGAACAAACTTCAATTGTATGCGTGAAACATGACATAGGACCAAGCTGACCCATAGACCACAAAAACTACACTAAAAGAGTGCATGTAGAATCATGTTACAGAAAACCTTGGAAATATATTTACTGCCATTCTTTCAAGCCGTATGTTTTTCAAGAAAGACAAAAAAAAAATTAAAGCTTCAAGGCCAACCATAGCCTCAGGCTGGTTGCGTTGACTGATCTCGCTTTTATTTCATTCCCAGTGTTTTTCCACAATCAGGAAATAACAAAAGCTAGACTATAAATGCTTTCCTGGGTTCCAATCATATTCAGCATTCTGAGTTAAGGTACTCATTTCTGCACATTTTTCATGCACTGTCAACCTGAAAAAGTGAACCTCCATTTCTATATTGAGTTGTGTTCCCTTATAAGCGCAACCCTCTCAACTAAAAAAAATTCAAGTGCTTGTCAAAAAAAAGAAATTTTGCGTTCTCGTCTTATTCGTAGATTTCAGAACTTCTAGATTAACAGGTAACAATTTCAGGCATGTGGCGTGGAAACCAATTACGTCAGTTTTCTTTTCAAGGGGACAGTTAAATGATAAAACACTATTTTCATTTCCACAACAGTATTGTCACTAGGTAAGTTTTGACAAATGCTCATGATTTCAAGGATAAGCAGGTGGTGTAAGATTGTCATTATTTTGCATTGCATCGATAATGCTATGTTCACAACATTCACGAGATATGTTCTCAGTGTAAACATGCAATAAATATACTTTATACAACATGAAAACACTTAGAGATGTAATTAAACAGCTGAATAATATTCAATAACACGATAGAACAATAAGGCACTTGTGATAACTACTTTGACACATAAACTTTCTCAGAGATAATTGTACAATACTGTAAAGGTGTTTATAAAATATCATGTTCTAAGGTGAACATGTGCTGTACAACTGAAAAAACAAGGCCTAAAACATTGAGAACAGTGATGACGTACATGTTTTGAATATATAAAGCAAAACATTTTGCATAGGACATGCCTTCATAACACATGTTCACAGGATAGGCCAGGTTAATGAAAGAAGTGATTTACAGAAGGCAGATGGCAGAAAAAATGGAATGTATATTATCCGTGCAATAACATTGCCAGGAGTTGAGGAAAAAGTTTCACAGCCACATCCAGAGTGTCAGTATGACCCTGCATGTACACAAGAGTCCACTGTCAAGAAAACATCGGAGCACGTGATGGCCGCTCGGCACCACCACCAGCGAGCAGCTGCAACGAGTTTAGCGTAGGTGCAATGAGCTCAGTGAAGGGGCAGCTGTTTCGTCATCTGATATCGTGTGCTGCCACACGTCAAATCTTCGCAAGCTGAACAATCCACGAAATGCGAGAACACTGCTTACTGAGCCTGTGCGGAACTCGTTAAAGCCCCTTGCCGGCAATAGCACCGAGCGGCTGCCACGAGCTCTAATGTTCCCTTCAGCCAAATCAGTATGTATCTCAAACAGATGCGGGACCTTGGTACCAAACTTCGACCCCTTTGTTCAGCCCCGGCCACGTCTTTGAAGAGCGCGCGAGCAGCCGATTTTCGCTCTGCAGGGCGGCGCCTGGAGGCAGTTTCGAGCTGTGACGTGATCAGCCTGACTACTAGGTGACACATGCTCCTAACACGCAGTGTCCGAAGCCAAAACTGCCGCAAGGCGTCGCCCCGCAGAGCGAAAACTGGCTGCGCGCATGCTCTAGACAGATGTAGCCACAGCTGTACCTTTCAAAAAGCATGCCCGAATACTAATACCGCAGATGGCGAACTTCTTCACTGCATAAGGTCAGCTGTAGTGTCATGTGACAGTGTAGAGCCTCTGTTTGATGGATCAGTCGCAGCCCGTCTCGCATCAAATGTCTTTTCGGCAGATGTAAGGCAGCACGGTGAGAAGCAGTGTGTTTTGGTTAGTCATCAGCGAGTTCACCGTCATAATGTCCGCATCACGAACATCGGTGCCGTTGACCTCGAGTATCTCATCACCGATGTCAAGAAGCCCTTGCAACAGCTGGAATAGAGATACACTGAGATATGACACAATGCGATTTCATTTGCACTCTATTAGTTTCACCAACCAGACCTGCCATTTTTGTTTTGTACAACTGTCATGTGCCCACTTCCGTACAAGCACATGCTGGCTGAACCCCTTATAGATTATATAAACAGTGTCACCATCTCTCCCTATATGATGATGATATCACGCCTATACCAAAGTTCACCCAAAAACAATTTCCCATTTCATTTATTTACATATATTTGGCTGACTGGCTGCCTGCTGTTGCTTGTCTTGTGATGTTTTTCGTGGATTGAATTACAATGAAGCTCATGCGAGTTTGGTATTAATGTGTAGTGCTGGGATGCAGCCTGCAATTCAGGCTATTTCTCACAAATGGAAATGTTCAACAGGCCCTGCAACTTTTTTTTCGTAGCCATGCAATGGATTCGCTAAAAGAGCTTATTGCCTAATGACTTTAAAGCGAGAAAAACTTTTAGAATCGGTCCAGTATGTAGGGTGTTAAAAAAGATCTGTCACATTCTAGAATCGCATCTTCTCTTTTTTCATCCCGACGAGAGTGCTGGAAGCTAAGCAGGGAGGAATAGAACGAGCAAAGAAAATATGCCACGTGTGCTTCGCGACTTTGAGTACTTTTTTTCTTAGAATACACTTTTTCAAAGTGATCGCGCGTTCGCATGAACAAGCAGTGGCCTCCCGCAGCGGTCTCTGTAACAACCGAGCGCACCATGTTCAAATAAGCCAATGGTTGTTAGAACAGCTGTGACAAGTGTTTTTCAAGCTTCTTGTGTCATTTGTTGAGAAAAGAGGAAAGAACTTTTAGCTCACTAAGAATTAATTGTGAATTCCAGGCCCTATGTTGCGCTGTATTATTTGACTCGCGTGCTTTTGGGGGCCTCTACTATCGATTGGCAGCATTTTCTGACAATTAAAATTAAGGATGCGTAGAATGTGTTAACAAGGCAGTGAAGATAAATTTCTACAAACTTACTTATTCTGCCAGCTGATTTTAAAGCAAGTTAGGCTAATGCATTACAACAGCCCAACAGAAATGCTAGGACACAAGAGAGTAGTAGCTACTCGATATCCAGCAGAGCCCTTCATCGTCTGGCAAGAGTGAATAGCATCGCCAAAATGTGAATTGGTTAGCGAAAATCTCGAAGAGGCGGACCTAAATAAATGTCAGACTTTTTGCGTGTGTTTCAAATAGTCTATATGGCAGTCGCAATGACGCCAAGGCAGTTCGTCAGACTCAGACAGCCAGACATCATTACGTAATTAGGAACATTACTTTAGTTGCACGAAACGAACACCAAGTCGCAATGACGCCAAGGCAGTTCGTCAGACTCAGACAGCCAGACATCATTACCTAATTGGGAGCATTACTTTAGTTGCACAAAACGAACACCAAGTTGCTCTAAATTCTGATAAGACGATCTCTACAGAATATATCCTGTAGAAAATGAAGGGGTAGAGCAAGCCAGTCCCTTTGCACCTTCTCTCCTGCCGACAGCCATGTTCCTCGATCACTGGTCAATAGCTCACCTGCTGCGTCAAGACATCAGGCATGCGGGAGACGAAAACGCCATGGTGGGTGTGCACTCGTCCTCTGGCCAGAAAGAAGCCGAAGGAGCGCCCGGGCGGCCGGCGCAGCTCGACAACCTGCGTGCCGTCGAGGTTCTGCTGCAGCAGCTGAGCGCTCACGTGTTTCGGCTGAGCACCGGTCCAGAGAGGGTCGCTGCACATACACAACACACAACTTGTTTACAGATAAACATTCAGTTGAAAATAAGTCTGGTAAAGCACATATTTAGATGAATTTTACAGTCATCACAAAAAGCTCGGGCATCTTCATGCCATTAATAAACCAGTTCATTCATCCCCTCTGCTGTTATTTAAGATGCAGGTACTAAAACAATTCTCTCTCAATATAAATTTATTGACGTACAATAGCATGATAACTCACGATGGACAGACACCACACGCACAATTTCTTGTAAGGAACATAGCCAAATCAGTATGTATCTCAAACAGATGTTGGACCTCGGTACCAAATTCATGAAAATGCCAATTATACTTTTTTTCGCTCATTACCACTTGCACTATTTTATTCTTGTTTGTGGAGTTACATCACTGCATAATCTGGATAACTTGTATCTAATCCAAAAAAAGCTCTTCGTGTCATTCGTAACTTATCATGCCCCGAACACTTATCTTAGCATTTTTCATCCGAGCACATTCTTTGCATTTGTGAGATTTACAACCAGAGACTCTCGGAGTTCATACTTTTCAAATAGAGAAATTACTCTCGGCAATTTCTCACTACCTACACTAATAACGCTCGAAACTACAACTTTAGACATCCCACCATTTTGAAACCAAGAGCTAGAACTACCAATGGTCAGCAACTTTTAAAATGGCAAATCCTTAATCTACTAAACAGTCATCCTTAAGTACTAACTTTGATAATGCACGCTTCTCCCATTTCATCTTACAGAAAAAAGTCGAAGATGTACTTAGAGCACATATAGTTAGTGAAGGCTTGAGTTCACTTTCTCATGTTTGTATGCATAAAGTGTTATATATGTACTGACTCTTCTGACTATTGAAGTACGAAAACCTGTGTTTATGCTCCTTTATGGAACACTGGTGTCTGCACCACTATTGCCCTCTATCTCATTTCTGTATTTGTGTTGCAATGATACATGCATGCAATTTAACCCATTTTGGAAGCCTTGTTGTAATTTATATTTTGTATAAGCTTTCCCCCCATTCTCCACCATGTGAATGTGTTCTCATGTGTTTTTTTTATTTTGCCACTTCAGTTGCTCTGTGTGAAGAATATACGGTGTCATTCTAGAAGCAGAGTCAGGTGACTCATAATGTTGCTTTTTGTCTCCCTCACCACTGCAATCATGTATTGTGAAACAAATAAATAATTAACTAAAATGGAGAGCTGAAAAGCTATGTGTCGAAGTTTAGCTTCGCTCACGCAGCAAACATTGAAAAGTTTAGCATTTTTAAGGCACTTTCTCACGTTGCTTCTTTAGGCGTCCTCACATGAACGGGGCGACAGAGGGCATCCAATCACTAAGAAGCTCTGATGCCAGCCCAGCAGTGCGCAATGTGATGAGAGGGAATGAACCTGAAGCCTCTACTTTTGAGTGTGTGATTTATGTCAATGGTGGCAATTTGCGTCAATGCGTGGCCTAGTCCAACAGGCCGCCCCTCTTCAGAGATGGCCTAGGACTAGGCCCTATCTTCTCATGGCCTCACGGGTGTACCTTTAGTTGATGTTGAAGGTTTGGCTTGAGTAGCATCTATTGCTCCACAGCTTCCTCTGTGGAGACTGCCCATCACCCAGAGTATCTACTTATGGATGTGGGAGTCCAACTGCATAATATGCAAATATCTTCTGAATATATGCCTGGACAGATCATGTTGAAACGAAAGGGGTTGCGTAGGTCTTCGTTTATAACAACCTACAATCTACCAATTGGGCTCTGCCTAGTTTAAATTTGGGGGGTGAATAAACACCGCTGGACTTGACGAAAGTTTGCTATATCATGGTATCTGTTCATTCTGTCCCTCTATGTGAAGCTATGCATCGGATTTTCATCCCCTAGCAAGAATATTAAAAACTACATTTCTTATGTCCTATTTGTGGTATTGCAGTTTGAAAAATAACACACACTGCCACCTAATGGTATATCTTTCTGTATTTTACTTGTAGTGCAGATTAAGTTACTGTGGCAGCAAAAAACCCACAAAATTTTAATCTATGGTCTCTGAGCCCGTATTGTCACACATTCTTTAGGGTAAATATATGACCAGTACAGCCATTCCTGATGAGCCTTCTTACGAATTAGAGTACCGTTTCAGTTGAGTTCTTCGATGCAAAGTTCATGAACAGCTTTGCTTTCAATGATGCATGGAATATCGCCATTTTAAAAGAAAATTTTTTTTTGATCGGACGCTTGCACCTTTAATACCTTTATTTCGCGGGTCCTGAATCAACGCATGTCCTTCCGAGTCAAAATACAGATTAAATGGCCTACATATTGGCAAGTTGCAACACAGATATATAAACACAATAGTGTTTCGAGCAACAAGCCTTTAAGTTGTTCATCCTGTACGCGTCAGGCCTCATTCTGCCGAATTTAGGTTTATTGCACATGCATGAACCGACGACATAGAAGCAATAAGACTGGAGTCGATCACAATAATGTTACAAGCTCTCTGCTGGCCAATGTACTAATGTCGTTGAAAGATTTCGCTAATAGGCTGTAGCTGCAACAAGTTTTACTTTTTGGTTACGAACGCAGTCCTGCGCCACTTTTGTCAAATATTCATCTATTAACAGAATAGCAAACGATTGCAGACATTATTATGCATGCTGCGAGCCCAAAATACCTGTCTGCGTTGATCTCGATACCGGTGGGCTCCTCGCGGGGTCGTCGCTTGCTCTTGCGAAAGCTCATGCGTGCCTTGAGACCCAACATCAAAGACGCCGAGGATGACGTCGAAGGCGAGGGTGAAGGAGACGCCAGAGGCGTCGCCTGGTTGACTCCGAGGTTAGAGTCCAGGAACTCTCGCCGGCGGTCTCTGGCAACCGCGGCCGTCTCGGTCTTTTGCGGACGGTAGATGCGCTCGGTGCTGAAGGCACGCAGCAGCGCCGACCTGGCACTGCGCCCTATGCCTTGAACCCGGTCGAGAAGCCGCGGCGTAGAGCCGCGCGACGACAAGCTGCGTGACGACGAGTCACCATGCGATGACGAGCGGCTGTGCGGCGTAGAGCCGTTCGGTGTGGCTGCGCCTCCGTTCAGCGAGCTAATCGAAGACGCTGGGCCGCAGTACAGACCGTAGTCGCTGCAGCACGAATCAGACAGTGAGGGAAGAGGCACATAATCACTGTCAACTAATTGCACGCCGCTCCAGAGAGACGGCGAGTTAAGTAGCTTCATGCACCGGTGTTAAGATAGCACTGTAGATCCAAATATAAAGCACCTCGTGACACCGCATCGTTTTCAGCTGAATAAAAAAGTCACAGCTTTGCCGCAAAGGCAAAGCACTGAACGCGACAGCAACAGATTGGAAGGTCGCGAGCAAAATGGAAAGCCCATCTAAAGACGCCCCACGTTTCTCCTGCCCGAAAGACGCACGAAACATACTCACAGGTACAGATGCACGCGAATAAGCGTCTTAGTTTTAACTTAGCTGTGTCTGAAAGCCCACGCTTTTCGCAAACAGAGACTGCAATAATTGTAGTGACCTTTGTGCACCCGGTAACTACAACAGAATCGTTCCAGCCAACGCACGAGGCCAACAAAAGCCCGACGCCAGCCAAAACGTACGATCTTCTCCCCCCCTACCCACCGTGAGATAAGGGCGCCCCAGGGAGCATCACTCCCCTCCTCTAAGCGGGGCAAAAAAGTATGCGTGGGAGATTAGAGCGCGCCCCGCCACATGATCAGGCAATGCACGTATATTGCGCCATCTTGCTAGCACTGCTGAAAGCACGATAATACCCCCCCCCCCACCCTCCAGATGCTTGTCAGCAGCGGTGAGTGGTAGATATAAATAGCGTGCCGCTTGAACACTGCACGACGTGCTCCTCGGTGGCTCAGTGGTTAACGCCTCGCACTCACGATGCATAGAACGCAAGTTCGATTCCGCGAGCCGGAGTCTCTTTCTGAACACCTGCATTGTCTATTGAAACAGGTTTCACATAAAAGAAACTTTTTTTTCGCCCCTTGTTTCGTTTCCACAACAGTTTCAGCGGAGCTAGCTTTCTCATGATTACTTGCCAAACTGCAATAGGTACTACTAAGGTTATAGTGGTTAACGGTGATGGCTGCGAACAGCAATACGATATATCGGCTTCCTTCTTTAAAGTTCGATGGTTGCCTGGCGGATAGTACTGTTCAATCCTTTTGTGTTTCGATTCACAAGTCCAGACTTATGGACTGTCAACATGATAGTTACAATTCTGTATCCGTGCGCGTGTATGTGTGCGCGTGTGTGGTGTGTGGAGGGTTTAAAGCACAAACAGAACAGCTTTATTTACAAAATCACGAGCCCTGCGTTTACTGCCCAAACTCTACTACATGCAATTTTTATCGCGTTTAGTACATAACCAGCAGTACAAAATTCGATAAATGCGTGTTGCGCATCGTAATAAGCTATGGAATCACAATTTCGCGTTATGCGAGAACACAACTTATTTTTCATTTGATTGTGGCAAAAACCGGCTATACCGCTTTGAGACACAGGCCCCGTCGCAGGGTTCCACTGAAGCGAACTCGCTATATTCAGCGTGCACATGCTGTGGCTCCAAATTCTCGCTGATTCTCGCTGAGGCTCCAAAGTCTTGCTGATTCTAGCCAAGCTTTCAAAAGATTCGATTGCCAATAACACACGTTAAGCGCAATATCTTGCGGTGCAGCCCCCTCTTTCAGCAAGGCCGATAACACCAACAAAGTGAAGGACAGGATGCGGTGGTAAGCACTGCAAATGCAGTTCCTGTCACGCGCGTCGAGGGGGTTACTTTTTTTTTTATTGCAACTTATGTTGCTGGCGTTGTTTCAGTTACAGTTATCTGTCGAGCTGCAGAAGTGCGGTAGTTGCCAGTTGCCGCTCCTTTAGTAAAAGCTAAGCATAGTACTTCATATGGAAACGGGGAGGCAGAGAGGGGGGCTCACGAAAGCTGCCCCAAGCAGTCCCGATTGATGATAGGGGAAAAAAAGGCAGAGTATTGCCACAAAGGCGAAGCAATAAACGCGATCGCAACAAATTGGAAGGTCACGCACAGATTGGCAATCAGATCAAAACGTGCCTTACGTTTCTCACGCACAAATAACGCACGAAACATACTCACAGGTTCAGATGAACGCGAATAAGCGTCTCAGTTGTTACTTCGTGGTGTCTGCAAAGCGCACTCTTTTCGCAAACGAACACTGTGCACGATTGCAGTGACCTTTGTGCGCCTGGCAACTACAACCTAGTCGTTCCAGCAAAAGCCAGCCAGCAAAGACGTACGATCCTCCCCACCACGAGATTAGGGCGCGCGAGTGAGCGTCCAGGAGCTTTGCGTCCACCCCCTCCTATCCGCGGGGCAAATTACGCGTGGGAGATGAGTACGCGCGCCACCGCGCGCTCATTGTGTCATCTTGCTGGTAATGCTGAAAACAAGATAGTTCCTCCCCTTCCCCTCCCCCCGAGATTCCCGTCACCAGCATTAGGTGAAATAATAGCTTGCCGTTTGAACGTTAAAGGACGTGCTGCTCCGCAGCTCAGTGGCTAACGCCACGTAGTGATGTTTCAGAGGTTCCACGTTCGATTCCGCGCGCCGGAGCCTTTTCCTGGATTTCTTTCTTGCGATTTTATTATATAGATACCTGTACATATACTGTGTATGACGGCGACGGCCACATCGACGCGGACGCCGACGGCAAAATACAGCCGAGAATGTCCATATAACTGCTATCGCAATAAAAAAGAAGGGGCTTTGGATTCGCACTGCTATCGAACCTGGGCATTATCCGTGGCATCAAAGTATTGAACTACAGTGTCAAGCCGGCGCTTGCCACTGCTTCGCAAAATGAGAAGCCAATAAAGTCGGCATGTCACCAAAGTTGTCACGTTAACGCAAGTATACTGCATGGCAGAAGCGCACAATCGCACCAGTTGTCCGACTGAGTGAATTTCGCAAATAGTGGGTGGTTGAAGTTTGTCAACCCATAATAAAGACTCGGCCATAATTCCTCAGCATGGACAAAAAGTAGAACAACGTAAGTGTGCGCTGCGCATTGCTTTACAGACGCGCAGCATATAAGGATGCCACAACTGTAATTGAAGTAGGCACCCTAGCAGAGTCCACAACTGCCAACAGTTTCGCAAAGTGGCACAAGCTTGCACGAGCGAAAAAAATAATTTTCTAGAATGATGATAATGCACGCAGTGCATTGACGTAGCAATCTACAGAAATGCGGGGCTATCTACAGAAATGGTCCTGCCAAGAAACGCCCCGTGCACCTCAGATCAAGCTCCTCTAACATCATTCATTTTGTAGATAGATTTGATTGATATGTGGGGTTTAACGTCCCAAAATCACCGTAGGATTATGAGAGACGCCGTAGTTCAGGGTTCCGGAAATTTGGACCACCTGGGGTTCTTTAACGTGCACCTAAATTTGAGCACACGGGCCCACAACATTTCCGCCTCCATCGAAAATGCAGCCACCGCAGCCGGGATTCAATCCCGCGACCTGCGGGTCACCAGCCGAGTACCTTAGCCACTAGACCACCGCAGTGGGGCTTCATTTTGTAGATATGGCGGTGATTTTTTACGCTTTTTTATTCTATAAGAACAAACATGCAGCTGGTGGTAAATAGTGGCGGCTAACCCTCCTATTTAATGCAGAAAAAAAAGCAGGAAGTTGCGCGTACACTCTCGGCGATCATGTTAACTGCGGTCTACTGAAAGTCGTGTCACATTAAAGGATATATAGTTTATTACTGTCCGCATGTGTTGATCTAGGCCTGCTCAGGCTAGGACAAGCGATCCCCTATTGCCTTCTTGTTCAGCCACGTCAAAGAGAACTACGAGCACACAGACCGAGGCGTATGCTATCTTCGCATCAGAACTTCTGAATGGACTGAAAGGCGATAAGCAACACGTGCACACAACCACTGACCAACAACCCGCAGAGCGATAGGGTGTTCTCGGACCCTCCTGGGTTTTTATTGGCTTTTGGTGCGGCAGATGCTTGTCTTAAAAAATATGTTTCAACGGATATCGCACCTGGCCGGGGGTTGTTAGGACGGAGTCTGTATCTCAGTTGGAAATTATTCTCGTTATCATTACTTTCTTCTTATCGAGCTGCTCTACCGCGGTGGTCTAGTGGCTAAGGTACTCGGCTGCTGACCCGCAGGTCGCAGGATCGAATTCCGGCTGCGGCGGCTGCATTTCCGTTGGAGGCGGAAATGCTGTAGGCGCGTGTGCTCAGATTTGAGTTCACGTTAAAAAACTCTAGGTGGTCCCAATTTCCGAAGCCCTCCACTACGACGTCTCTCATAATCATATGGTGGGCTTGGGACGTTAAAACCCAGATATATATTCTTATCGAGCTCAAAAGTTCGCAATGCTTGCAGCTGGAGAGAACGTGCAGCCCGAGGTGTTACGAGCAGGCCTCTAAGTTCAAGGTCAGACGCGGCTTCGATTCTAGGCAACGGCTGCCGCACTTCAAAATAAACAAAATGCAAAAACCAGGTAAAGGACCTCATATTTATATCAGGGCCGCGTCGAATTGCCTCAAGTGGTCAAAACAAATACTGAGTGCGCCGCTACGGCGCGTCTCGTTATCACCCTGGTTTGGTACGCCAGTACTAAAAATTCGGTATTTTTAGCTTCACGTGTTAAAACCAACAAGAAAACGTTTACGAACTGCGTGTGATGTCCACTATGTTATGTTAACGATAGTCACAGAAAAAGACGGGAAAAAGATGTTCATTTTCAAAATGTAAAACAACTCACTGCTTATAGAACTGACTGAACGACGAATCAGTACAAAATGGGGAAGCGAGTACAGAAGCCGGCCCATTAAAAAAAAACAAAAAGCGAGATTTTGAGAGTCATAAGCACGGTCTTTCACATGCACCTCCAATGTAGCCTGTAGGATGTTCTTTTTTTTCCCTTAGTTTCGCTTCCACGCAAATGTAATCGAGGGAATCGTTCCCGCATCCTCGCGCGTAGCAGCACAATACCACAGCGGTTATAGCCTCCACTGGCAAAAAAAAGCCTCAAAACAGCCGAGCCAGGGTATAGTTACGTATGAAAACATGTACAATTATCGCCAGGGGAAAACGAAGCAGCATCGGCTTCACTACGCAGCAAGACAACGGCACCAAACATGCTTGTGCTTCACGCACAAGTAAAGCTTCTTCTAAAGGCACAGCATTCCGTTTCAGCGCTGTCGCGTTGAAGTGCTCGTTTCGCAGTCATTCCGGCGTCGGTGTGGGCATTCGTTGATTGTGATCAAACAATTATCTTGTAAAAATAATGAAAATTTCCTTGTCCGAGTGAGGATCGCACCCAGGTTGTTTGCATGTCAGGCACATGTTCTACCTCACAGTCATGCGCGTGGTTGGACACAGCTGAAAAAAAATTAACTTCCTATGCTTGAAAATGTGGTGAAAATAATGTTCATGCTTTACAAACACACGCGTCCTGCCACTTCACGGTAACAGATGTATTATCGCAGTAATATTGCGTGGTACAAGCAGACATTGCCATTGGACGTCAGAACACGAAATTCTGACGACTACCTCATGCGTTAAAGCCGGCCACCCATTACGGTAGGCACAAACGTTACTGTGCGTATTCTCTTAAGACCACGTAGTGGGGTGCATAGCAGGTTCGAAAAGATTTCACGCATATAAATGCTCGTGGTTTGGATATGAACTCGGCTCGGATATTTGCTCATGGTTTGGACACATATGAACACGCAGATCTTGCGGTACTCTCACGAAATGGCTCCGCTTATAAATATTCAACAGTTATACTTTAGCGCTACCGTGATAGCGTAGGTTAAGGGAATGACGTTACCGTGCAGCAAACGTTCGTTGTGGGCAGCGTCTTCTGGTTTAGCGGGATAGCGTTTACGTGGTTTACGTGCCCCAGCTGGGATGGTGACACCGCCTATTAGATGGTTAATAAGTTAAGCAGTGAAAATGAAAAGAAAACGAGAATGCTTGCCTGTATACCACCGCGCGAAGCATTGTTAGAAGTGTATTTTAGTATTAATAAAAGTAAATAAATATGAACCACGCACCAAACGCAAAAACATCTACGTTGCCGATTTGTTTACATCGATCTTGTAGTTAGACCTAGATGAGTTCAAAAAGGGAAGCTATCTAAAAAATTACGCCATCTTATCCGTTATACTCGGTCATCAAAGCTAACTGAAGGTAAGCGAAGCCACTTTAAACAGTCGTTTGCTGCGAACAAGGTGAATCTCAACAACTACGCCAAAATCACTTCGAAGCGGGCGTCCGAGGACGCCGCCATGTTTACGTACACCTACGCTACCACGGCAACGTGAAATCTGAAAAAATACCACGCGTACGGGAAGCAGTACGGGTGACGTACGTATCTGCGCATGCGCACTTTGATTCCGGTATCACGGTACACCCGGTAAGCCCGGTATACTATAACTCTCTATTAACTGCGAACAAGTGTCCACTTGGAGAGCGTAGGAGAGATGACATGGTTTCCGAAGTAGCCAGTCGTAGTCTTCTCTTTGTTACTACACTCAGACGCGACAGTCGGGCAAAAACTGGTTCATTCACACTTGACACGAAATCCTCTGACACGTACGTTTCCTACGGCTAAACATAACCCAACAAAACTCATTTGGAGCGGTAATCCTGCGTTCGACAATGTGTTGTTCCCGAAGCGCGCATCGCGTTTCTACAATCAATCGTAAAAAATTTTTACACATCACCCGTGACTGCTTGTATTGATAGAAATTTTAAGTTACCTGATACTAGAAGAAACGCAATATCCGGTTTTGTACTTAGGAAGCTCCGCTAACTCCATTTAAACTTAGAGTAAATGTTAATATTGGAGCAGTGAAGCAAAAACTTGGTGAAAGCGTCTGCCTAAAGGCTGTAAGAACTCGACATTCGGTACACAGGCAGCTTTCCAAAAAGCTGGTACCAAGCGATACCGCGCAAACTGAACTAGAACACTGTTTTCACCTTGTATGTTTATCTTTCGCAAGTGACGCTCGTTTTACGATGTTAAATAAGTAGGTACGCTCAAACATTCAATCTCTCTATTACACGATTAGAATAGTATACAATGTAGATAGCGACTAATATTACCGAAACCGGGACGCTAGAAAATACGAGAGATAGGACCCTCGTGTTTTCCTGTGTCACCATATCACGCACGAAACAGCAACCCATATTAACTAAACAATACTCACATCTTCCTAGCCTCATGCTAAGGTTGCGCTGTTTGCGACAAGAAAATGGACGAACAAACATGACTCAGCAAAACACTATTCCCGAATAATTAAAGGCATACCAGTGATAGACCACCCAAAAATAATAGGGAATTCGCACTGCGATACGTCATGCACACACCTGTAGAAATAAAACTCGCGCTGAATGCGCACGTCACAATTATAATAAAGAAGTAAGCGCTCCCACAATTAGCAGTTAAGTGCGACTGCGCGTTGCGAATTGCGAGTCCGTGTTCTTAAAATATTCGGAATTTTTATAGTCGGTAAAAATTTTCACACCGCTAAGCAGAGCGCGTCACGGAAATCTAAGGTGACCTTAATCGAGTCTCTCACCTTTTGTGCATGGACTTGCGCGGTGGAAGCGGTGGCTCGGAGTCGTCCATGACGCACGGTGTGCTGGTGATGCGCGGTATTGGAGAGAGTGCCGCATGTTGGTACGATGGCTTGCGCGTCACCACGGCGTATTCCACACCGCCTTGGACCACCTTCGCTGGGCCTGCGGTAAGGTCAAGTGTCTACCAACGCTTCCGACCCTCGCCGCGTCCAATATGTGCGCAATTAACTTCAAACGCGTATCCGGTGATTATCGCGAAGAGACAGCATAGGCGCCGATCCCGTTTCGAGTAATTTCAGCAATAGGGATGACAGGGAGTGTATGACTGTCGTGCCTCGCTACAGGCAAGCTAGAAGGAAATTGCAGAACCACGGTGAAATCTCCCTCTACCATGCCTCTAAGCACGTTCACAGAAGCCAGTTTCAAATTACATAAGCCGAAAAAATTAAGACGAATAGAAAAACGTGCGAACGTTTCCAAATTAGGCAACACGCAAGAGGCCCACTTTGAAACGTTAAAAGAGTGAAACGTGTACGCTGAACGCAGCGACTTGAAAACACGTGATTCGCGGTTTCACGTCACCGGACGCATATTTGTCAAATCGGAGACTAACATCGCAACTACCACACCATTGCGTTCCAAGCTTCTGTTCCCAATCTGTAACTAACGCGTGCAATAAATGTCGCTCGTACCTACCCTGGACACTGCCTATCTAAGCGAAATAAAATCTCCAAAGTCGATCTTTGGCCGTCGAACGAGGAGATCAGTCACAGTGCGAAGACATGGGCAACAAGAGAGCACGCAGTGGGAAAGACAATTTGCAGATTTCTCACGCAAAATCGCGTCCAACATAAACGGCCCTGGATCAAATGTGGCCCACGAGACCACCATTGGGACAACCGCCCCGCGTTGTCACAAACGCGATTGATCAGTGAATGTGTGCGCGGATAGCGCCGATTAGGCCGCGCCGGTAGTGGACGCCCCATTGAGGACGCACAATGTTATCTTATCGTCCAAACCACCGGCCGCAACACAACTGTTCCTTCACCTGACCCGCGCACTCGAATGGTGAAGAAAAATAAAAACGCTACAAGAATGACGCAGAATGTATGTGAAGCAGGTACGACAGACAGAACGAGTTGCCAGTGTTTAACAAAAGGGAAAAACACGAGGCCCTTAGAAAGACGACCACTCAATCAAGGCCATAAACGTCACTTTCACTGGGCACAAACTCACCTCTGCCGTTAGGAGTGGCTCCCTGGTGCACGAGTGTTGGCATGCTCGTGCTCTTGGGTGAAGTTGCGCCGTCGGCAGCGAAGCAGCTAGGTGCCTCGCATAGACTGCGCAGCGGGCTTTGCTCACGGCCCAGGTCATCGAAGCTCTTGTTTTGGGGCCAGTTCATGAACAGCGATTCGTGGACTCCGTTAGCGACTTCCGGCGTCCTGTTGGCAACGTCGGCGAGACGCGACCCGTAAGCCGCTGGCGGCGTGCACGGTCGCGCCGCGTCGAAGAGGAAGCGCCCGGCACTCGGAGACCGCGTGGCGCGAGTGGACGACTGCTCGGCGTGCGAGGTGGGCTCCGGGACGACGGCCGCGGGGCGCGCGAACAGCACGCGCATGGTGCCGGTGTCCGGACCAGAAGAACCACGGCTTTTGGGTGGCATCGCTGCTGGCAAACAACGTGTGCATCACTGCACATGCGCTCAACGTTTCAGAAGAAGTCGCATGCGCGCAGATAAAGAGACTCGAACGGACAACAAGGAGGAGCAGCAAAGCGTCCGCAGTTCCTTTTTTTGTTTTGACAGTGTGGTAAATGATGCACAGAGGAAACAAATTTTAAGTCAACCTGAGCTATTCATGCATGCGCAGAAGCACTAAAGCGGCACACCGCCGTTCCACCATTAGGCTATTGCGTTAACAGTTATACTGAACATTTCTACTATTACGCATGCAGTGACGTCCCAGACGGGCAGCAACTGTTATTCGTGGAGAATAGAATGAATGGGGCGCAGCGAGACAGCATTGTAGCCAGCACATGGCGATCCAAGAAAATTTTGGCAATTACGCGCTGTAAATGCGCTGTCGTATAGCATTATCGGCAAGCGATGCGCCGCGCACTTTGGACACGCTTCTTGCCCGTGATCACGTATGCGTGCAAGCTGATTCGTTTTTTCTCGGTCCATGCGTCAATTTTGCAATGTTCATCGTGCAGAGGAAACGGCACAACACGAGGAGGGAGCATCTGCGGACGAGTGAACACGCACCCTCTTTCCTTGAGGATCTGTACAGTGTAAATGTTTACGAAAGGGAGCACGGAAGCGCGCGGCCCGCGCTCTGTCACAATCAACTGACACATAAAAAAAGCGCGTCTGCTTTTCGCGTCATTTGTTAGCAAACGAAACAAGTCATAACCGTTGCACAAGCGCCGCTAAACTGTGCTCCCGCTCTATAGTCTCGCAACGGGTGATGCCGCCAAAAGCCGACGCACTTTCATTATCTGTCCAACAACGCCCCCTCTATCTTATCGATGCCAGCCAGATGCCGCCGATCCAGCTGTTCAACTCCCTCTCCTCTATCCTTTACCTGCTCGCTCGCTTCGCCTAGCCTTCGGGTGCGCTTTGCGCTGATGGGAGAGAGTAGCCCCTCATGCAGCGCTTCAATACGAAAATCATATGAAGTAATTTTTTGTTCAGTTGTAGATAGATATGTGGGGTTTTACGTCCCAAAACCACCATGTGATTATGAGAGACGCCGTAGTGGAGGGCTTCGGATATTTAGACCACCTAAGTTTCTTTAACAAGCACCGAAATATGAGCCCACAAGCCTAGAGCCTTTTCGCCTCCATCGAAAATGCAGCCGGCATTCGATCCCGCGACCTGCGGGTCAGCAGCCGAGTACCTTAGCCACTAGACCACCGCGGCGATGTTTTTGTTCAGTTGTGTACAGATTCGTGGGATGGCGTGTTGCATTCCTCGTGTTCACAATATTGACAGTCACGCTGGCTCTATATATATATAATATACGGTGTTTTGAGATAGCGCGTCGCCGCTGGTGGCGCTATGCGGGCAACCAATGGGGAAGCGTCAGTGCAACGTTTCTGCATGCGCTGCTCTGTGACACGGCGGCGGCATTGCCTCGAGCCAGAAAGAAGCAGCATAAAGCATAGACTTTCCGAAAACTAATAGAGGAAGCTCTGGCGCTGCGATCATTCAGCGACCATGGGAATTATGGGTAGTACACACATTTGCCTAGTCTTCGTACTTGCGGGTGGCGAATCGTACTTGCGGCCTAGTTTATAGCTGGTTTCGTTGCATTTTGAAGGAAAGAACAAACCCTTTTCAACTTCGTGACTTGATTCGAAATGTTAGGCCTAGAAAATAATAAGGTGGTGAAGCGCAACCACTGGCCATTTTCTTTTTTTTTGTTTCGTGAGAAAACAGCGCCAAGCCACACGAACACACACACTGCCAGAAGCAGGCTAGAAGTACGAAGACTAGAGAAATATGCGAACTACCCATCATCCCCATGCTCGTTGAAGCGCCGTGTGTTGCAGCTCCCTTAGACACTAGCGCCAGGGTTCCCTCTAGCATATATTAGGAAACTCTATGGCATGAAGGAGCGAATCTGACAGACGTATGATATTGGTCTGGGAAACACGTCTATTGCATTTTTCGGGGAAAGCGCTCGGACGCACGTGCGACGCAAGCAGCGGGACCCCTCATACAGCGCCACATCACCACCACTCCCTAAATCAAGGCGGACCGACGGCTTCTATTGAGAAGCACGCGTTTGCACTGGCGTTGCAATAAAAGAGGCGTTGTATCGACTGATGGTGCTGTAGGCAGCCGCTGCAGAGCACCGGCCACGCGATCGCGTGTTCCCTTTCATAAAAATTGACATTTTACATGCAGTGCCGAATCCTCTCGTATAATGATAAGAATAATACAGCTAGGCTGGGGCAATGTGAACTAAATATTGTGGAGTCATGCAACTACCACAAACACGCCTTATACTAATCCACTACATTTGCTCTCTTTCGTTGCTTATTAACAAAGACAACCATTCCAAAATGTCATTCTCAAGTATGGCAGGTGGTTTTAGGCAGTTTAAAGAGTAATACGAGAGTAAGAAGTGGGTAGCAGTACACATCACCCCTTATCACAATAAAGAACGCCTAGCATCCGTATGGAGTGCTTTCACACATAGAAACTGACGGAAATTGTTGACCATGATTCCTGGTTACAACATCCGTGGTGTTCATAAGATAGGTATCTATGTTTAGTTGCACGCGTCTTACCCGGCAAGGACAGCGGTAGTGCCTTAGGCGGCAGCGTCGTCTTGGGCTTCGCACCTGACAGTGACGACGGCGAGTGACTAGAAACTGGTCGCGTCGGCTGCACCCGGCTGACGACGGCTTCCCTGGGCGCCATACGGACAGGCTGGGCGGCGGTTCTCAGGTCGCTGGCTGTACGCCATGGCTCTGAAATGCCAGCTTCCCCTGAACACGCATTGTTCACCATACCTTGATCTCGGCCAGGTCTCTCGCAGGCCGAGTCGCGGCTCGTCGCGCCAAGTTGGCTGTGCTCCTGCCGGACGTGCGAAGGTTGTTCAACGTTTCCATTCACGAAAACGGCCTCGTTAGCGTACTGCGCAGAGCTCAAAATACCGCGGCCAGGGTACTTGGAGTTCTCCGGCATGGCAGAGTCTTTCAGCGACGGGGTTATTCCTTTCGAGCCCTTCAACGTCGCGGATATGCAATAGGCTGGGTGCTTGTTTGTCGATGGCTCGCTGGGCACAGGCGCCGGAACGTCGTGGTCGCGTCGACGAGAGTCGTTCGAGTCGGTCAGTGACAACGCGGGGGACGAGTCCGGCGGAAGCAACGTCCAACGAGAGCCGGACCATGTAGTCGCACGTGTCGAAACGTCGTCGAGCATCGGAGCGACAGACAACTTGACGCCAGAGGATGCGCTTCTGCCATCAAGGTCAAAGCTCGAGGGCAGTGTACGGGCAGCGGGCACGGAGAGTCTCTTGAAGGATTCGTCCTCTTCGAACGCACGCGCAGGCAGGGAGAAACTGCGGTATCGTCCCGCGGAACGAGGGTCCAGCTGAGGTCCTTTTGGGGAAGAGGCGTACAGCGCGGCCATGAGCTGCCTGCAGGAGCGGCGCATGTGCTGCTCCGAGAATGGCAAGCTTTCATCGAAGTGCACCCGCGGAGGCCCCGCCGCAAACGAGGCCCTGGCGCCTCCGTCGTTGCCGGCGGTAGGAGATGCATCCTCGTGCAGCTGATGCCTGCAGCGGAAGATGACACGCGGAATGTCGTCATTATATCGGCTGTTTTGAATATGAGGTGTCTGATGCATAACACCCGACAAACATTATCAGCAATTAAGTGTCGCCAACAGACTTCCTCTGAAGTTGAAGTGCGTCCTGTAGAGATACAACACATCTTGCCACATTCAAACTGCTCATGATCGTCTTTTGGTAATTTTGGTAGTAACAGAATAACTTATAAAAAGCGCACAATATCAAAGAAACTTTGTCCTTCAAAAACTGTAAGGCTTCACCTTGAGTTAACGACGATTGAGAGATTAGTGTGAAATAGGCGAAAGTGAATTTCGACATTTAAGACACGGATATGGCTAATGAGAAGCTTGTAAGTGCTTCTGCCGTAGTCTGCACAAAGTGGCGCTTGCTCAGCCGTCTAATATTCACGTCGGGTGAACCATAGAGTTGGGAGGCAACTGTCGGTTTCCCACGCTGGCGTCACTACGACATGTCCGTCTTAACGTTCACACGCGCTCTACGACGGCGGCATTCGTAGAATGACGCCCGGGCCGCGCCTGTCACCGGAACCCGGAAGTCGAGGCTGTCGGTGCACTTGTCATTCTACGGCAAGAAGACGCCGCGACACGTCGAGTCTGCCCCTAACAAAGGCCTGGGAAAAAAAGCCGCAGCTATAGGCCATAAATTTCGCACGCAAGAAACGAGGACGCCGCGAGATAAGTACACGCCAACTGTCTATATACCCGAATCAACTCGGGATGACGGTGCACCTTTGTCAAACTGCCTTGTGTATACGGATCCCTTAAACTCATTCGGGAGTCCGTCATTGGATGTATTCTTCAACTGACATATCTGCACTAACGCCTTGAAGCTGAAGGGAAGAACGCTTTTTTTTTTGTAACACCACATACTTAGTGAAGCCTATTCCGATGTCTACTTGGAAGGACGGCCACCGAAAGAGGCTATTATAAGGTTTAAGTATTCCATGAAACAGCCCGTTCGATACTTCTACACCCGTGATCGTCAAGTGCGCCGCTTTGAATGCGCAGGACCAAACGTTCTTACTTTGAGTGCATGTCTCTTAGCTCGCGCCTGCAGTCAGTACACATGCAACATTGCTAGTCTCGCTCTCTCTCTCTAGACAAACACACACATGTGCGCACACGCGTAGTTATGTAGAACAGACAGACAGACCAGAGAGTTTCTCACAAAAATACCCATAGGGGGGAAAAGTGGCGCCACCGTCTATGCGAACTTATTAAAGGGACCAGCGAACTTAAAGAACTGCACGAATGGAATGGTTGACTCTTATACTGACCTATACCAACCCTGGTTTTCTCGTGAAAAGTGGAGTTATACATTTATTTATTCATTGAAAATCGAGAAAATAGCCTGTGGCGCCACTTGGGGGCAGAAACTTTAATTATCCGGTGTTATTTGTCATGTGACCGTAAACTAGTGCACGAGGTCAAGAATTTTCCTGTTAGCATGAAATATTGCTTGCTTTTTTATAGTATAAAGTATCTATAAAAATGTACTTACAGGCCTGCGTTAGTAGTGCGCAAGAAGGTGGCGCTACCTTCGCATGACGTAATGATTCCGTGCTCGTCAGTGCATCTTAAGCAACTTTTCTACGTGCTCATGAAACCGTGCACGCAGTTCACGCAGTTTACAGGTCGCTAAGATTTTTAATCGACGTTTTCGGTGACTTGACTTGGCTCATGTGTCGAGAGAGTAATGACGACGGGACAAGTCATCCACGCCACAGGCGCATCAATCTTGGGCGTAGGCGCACGCAACGCGGTACAAACACAGTGAATAAAGCCACATCATCTAGTTTTAACGGCCTTTTATATTCAAAAATAGCTGTAAAGCTCAAAACAAGCGTGGTCAAGCATAGTTACAGGAACTCCTGCGAAAGCAGAACAACGACAGCATGCACAAGTCTCTAGAAGGGCTACCGGCATCGCTATGAATCACGGCCTCCTAGATTTCTCTTGTCTGCTAGATTATCGGCGGTCACTTGGGAAGCGGCCGTCGTCGGAACTGCAATGATGGCGCCACTTAAGTAGGGTTGCCTTCAAATAAGTTTTTAAGTTTTTTTGGAACCTATATGCAACAAATATAACGTAAAAAGTTTTAAAAAGGCGTAAACGCAATTAAAATTAATTATAACTAACCCTACGTAAGTGACGCCATCATAGATGACGGGCGTTTCGCGCTCATTCAGCAGGGTACCTCTTCAATACAAGGCATAGCCTCTGTAATTAGCAAACGCCAAAGTTGCTAATATAAAAGACCAAGTACAAATACCCTTAACCCTACGTAGATCCGTAGTACTACGTAGTAACCCTACGCCGCCATAGATGACGGACATTTCACGCTCATCCAGCAGGCAAGAAATGTATAGGAGGTTATGTATGCATTCTCAGCGTTGCTAAATGAAAGGGGTCATCTGTGTTCACAGTCTTTTAGCCTGAAAAAAAAATACTGCTTATAAAATGACTACGCGCTTTTGGGATTAACTATGGCAGCTACAAACTCTACGAAGGATAAGCTTTCTGTCGCAACGAAAAAAAAAAGACTGGGTCGAAAAAAATCAGTTGTCGGTCCCTTCGTTGAAGCGCTAGGAATGACGGTACATGTGTCTGCGAGGCTTGTGTTGGCTGGTGTTGAGCGAGATTTTTCACTGCGTAAATAAAGGTTCTCTAAAACAAAACATTTATAAGTAGATCTCATCCACGCGTATCATATTACAAAAAAGAAGTCCACTCACCTTCACGGCTCAACCAAAGGATGAAAGAAAAAAATAGACGACATAAAGTGGCAGAGAGAACGCTCGCTTTGTCGTCTGCCTGCCAAGTTTGGCGACCGTTGGTATTTCTTACGCTTCGTAAAATTTTAAATAGACGCAGAAAGTTCCAGTGTTAAATAAAACACGTTTCTGTGCAATGTAAAAGCATCAATAGCTTCTTACCTTCTCTTTTAGTACGAAATCAACCATTTTAACGTGAAGCCAGGCGCGCCTTCGAGGTTCACAAATCCGATTGATGTTCGAATCACACATATTCCGTAATTGCCTTGAATCAAGCACCACACTGGCGGCAGATTTTCTCTAAGTAATTTTGTAGGAAACTATGATGAGACAGACAGACAGACAGACAGACAGACAGACAGACAGACAGACAGACAGACAGACAGACAGACAGACAGACAGACAGACAGACAGACAGACAGATAAAAGAAAGCTGAATGCGTTTTCTGTCGGCAGCATGCTGTATCCCTACTCAAAGAATAAATGACATTCGCAAAGTTGTGACTAATACAATAAACCATTCTCTTTATGGGAATCACTTCATCATGAGAATGAACTCATTTTACAAAGTATGAATAAACAAAGAAAAGTTAATCAGCTAGAATCGTAGCGTGGTGTAGGACAGTATGGTGCCATGGTAAAGAGACTCGATGAGAAAGAGCGAATGTCCCCGCTTTAGGCGCGAAATATCTAAGGCGACTAAGAACACTGCAAGAAAGGTGGAGCTTCTGACACAAGGAGACAGAATGTGTAGCGTGGGCGCACCTTTCTACAGGTCCGTCGTTGCAGGAGGAAGGCTCGGTGTCGGCCGACGACGTGGAGCCGACCCTCTGCGAGAAGCGTTCCACCGAACCGTCAATGCCGGAGTCACCGTCGCTGTCCTGGTTCACCGGTGCGCTGCTCCTGCCCGGAGGAGGCACCCGAAGCTGCGAGGCACGGATCTCTGCGAACGGTGTGAACGCCACGTTTGCGATCGATTCGCTCAAAGAGGCGCTAAAGGGGAAAAATTAAAACTAGCTTCCTACTATTAGTTAATTATTTGTTGGCGATACAAAAATCACAACGGTTGCCGCGAAAGGACTCTTGGTAAGCGAGAAAACACGCACAAAGAAAATGCCACTGGCGACGCCTCCTTGCGATTTCAGCAGCAGTAGTCATGACGTCATCAATGTCGATGGCGTCTTCTGGGCACTACGGAGTTCCCAGTCAGCAAAAACGCAGTGCATCATTTTTGGAGGGCCCACGGACTTAACAGACCATGTTTGGGATAATTTCCTTGGGTCAGTGACGCTAAAATACAAACAGTACACTTTGAAATCCACGACGTCCGGCGTGGAACTTACGGCGTGAAACTCGAAAATGAAAAATTAACCTTGATTTTTTTCTCTTATATTAGAAGCTTTATCATGGTGAACTTGACGACAGAGTTCTCAGACTAGACTTTACCAATGAAAACCGATTCATCGTTAGCTTCAGTGTCCCCTTAACCTAGCGCTGAAGATTAAATACTAAACAAGCCGAGAATTGGGCAAAATCATGATGGCTGAAAGTTAGCAACAATGAGCGGGAAATTCTCTATGAGTAGCTAACTCTTGAAAATGTACTCACACCATTCCGCTTTTTTTTTGCACACCCTTGCATGCATACTAGAACGGTCTTTCGTTTACGTCATCGTCGCCGTAACCAACTCACATGCCTTCGTTGAAGCTGTAAGAGCTCATTACTCATCATGGACAGTCAACGTGCAATCCTTTTTTGTACACCAGCTCCTTATGCAACACCACAGTGCTTTCATTGAGGTAATAAAATGTAATGAAATTAATCGCGGTAAATGGGAAAAAAATAAGTGCGACGGGAACTGAGCGGTGCGCTCCTCTCACACTCGCAGTGTTCATCTTCACTGCGCGCACCACACATTCGTTTCATAAAGTCGTAAGCTCCTTTACAAGCTGCATTTGCTTTCGTTAGGCCGATATAAGTGAATTAAAGCCCACTTTCAGCATATGGGCCCGATTCAACTTCATTATAAGGACGCTCGACAATACATGTAATAGTCGGCGTTGCAACGTGACTACACGGTCGCTCACCGGGACCGGCGTACTCTTCGTTGGTGGACGCGGGCGAGGATCTGGTGGCGCTCGCAGGAGAAGACAAAGCCTGGTTGCTGGCGTCGGAGCACTCGCTCTGGGTGTCGTCGCCGGAGACTTCCGTCGAGGCACCCGGCTTGCCGGCCACCTGAGCCACTGCGAGAGGCAGCAGTCGTCGGCTTTGTGCTCGCATACCGACCACTATACAGGCTCGACGCGGCTGCTCGATCGCGCTGGGCAAACAAGATCACTTCGGGGAAAGTGATATCCCGCACTCCTCCTACGCACGTTCATTGCATCGGCGCATCCCGATCGCTTGAACGACTCCCTTCGAAAAATATATAGCCTAGCAAACATGCTTTCTGCGAGGAACACTATACACAGCAGTGACACATAATACGCGCAGCGACAAGAACATTCAGCGAAGAGTGCAGAAAAACGATCTCTGCAAAGCGAGTTCGGTCCAAGAATCGGTATACGCGCGTACGTGACACTAATCACGTCTAATGTACGCTAAACGAGCCCCGTTATTTCTCACAAGGACGGAGCACGTACTTCAGGAGCACGAAAAACCGCTACTTGAAACTTTCGTTATTTTTCTTGTTATTTAAAGGAGTTTCAGTTTGAATGCATAGCGACTGTATTGACAAGTATACAAGTACAAGTTTCTCCATCGAGAAGCGTCACACTTCACTTCGCCCGACCATCGATGCTGTCGTTATTGTAGATAGTTAAAATATCTCGTGCGCAAAACCTCAGCGTAACGATAAAACAGCGTTTCAAACTACAATTGAGATTCCGAAATGCAGGTGCGCAGACTGTGATATCAAGCGCTTCGATAGGCACGTGGGTCACTTTTCGGATTTAGCATTGCTGGCACTTTTTCGGATTTAGTATTGCTGGCTTCACGTGATTACGGGGCAGGCAATGTCGTCGCCAAGGCCGCTTGCCCCGATCAATTTCAGGCATTATTTCACTTGCACTTCGCCGCGGCAACACAGCATAAGGGGTGACATACATTTTTGCTCTGATCCACACCTGTCCTGAGCGACCAAATATATGGCGACTTTTTTTGGCTATATAGAACATGCCAGATGGCACCGCCGATGGCCATCATCCTCGACAAATGGCATTGCTGGTCTTCCTTTAAGGTCACCTCGCTTCGATAATTGACTACGAACGATACCATGGCTCTTGATATCGGTGATCCGTTCGTGCCGAGCCACCTCAGTGGCACAGTCACTACGGTTCTGGGCTGCTGATTCGGAAATCGCGGGTTCCATTCGTGCAGCGGCGGTAACATTTCGATAGAGGCGAAATTCCAGACGCCCATGTGCTACAGATTCAGGCGCACGTTGCAGAGCCATGCATATATAGGTGGTCAAACTTTCCGGGGCCCTCCACTATAGTATTGCTTACGCTGCATTAAAAACTTGCGTGTAATGTTGGACATCGACTTATTGAGCGCAATAGGCCTATTCAAGCACTTTACGCTATACTGCTCAGTGGTTGCTGTCGAACGTGCGTTTACACATAAGGGAACTGACGCGCGGCGAAGACAAATCAATTACTCGATCCTAGCCCTGCATTACTCCGGTTGTTTGCCGAACAAAACAAACCGGTGAATGTTTGCTTCATGTGCTAGATGATGCTCGTAACTGCGTCAGACAGACTTGACAACCATTATTCGGCAAAAGACGGGACACGGGCCGATAGCACACACGTGCAATACTGCTTACAAACAAGGGGACTTTTGAGGAGAGTCAGGTTGTTTTTTTTTCCTTCTTCTCTGGTACTGCTTCGTTCTGCCATACTTTTTTATTCTGTTTTCTATTTTACCAACTTCACTTGTGTGGTCAGCCAACTTATAATAAACCTCCCGTCTTTTCACCTATGCCTCCTCCTTTCCCAAAAACTTTTCACGCGCTGGACGACATAGATGAAACCAAATTCGCTTACAATTTCGAGCCTTTATATAAGTAATTATGAAACAAATTTTCTCTCCTAGATCTGTCTTGCTGAGCTGCTGGAGGCGCCATCAAGCAAACCCAAACGTTTTTTCGTTCGCAGATTTTCGACGGAGTGAGTTGAACAGCATCTGCAAAATCTCATGATGTCTTGATCTTCAAGAAAAATTTAAAAACAAAAGACCGATTTAGATTCACGGCAAACTAGGTAGCGTCCTTTTAGACGCTAGAGAAAGCAGTGCACGAATGGAAATTAGCCATGTAAAAAACTAATAACGGGCTATTCCTGTTATTCTCGGTACACATATAGAAGCCGCTCAGAGTTCGTCTCCACTTTTTCTTTGGAGGGTTTTCGCACTCTCCGCTTTTATTATCACTTATTTTTTTTACTTTAAATTTAGAGCAGTAACTGGTGTTTCAGAGAGGAATTGAAAAACAGCTGAAAACAAATGCCATCTTAGCAGTGCGCCGTTTGTAAGTTCTCTGGTGCCGTATTCTGCGGTAACACAAAGAGGAGACATGCCTATGTATACTCGTTAAACGACAGCTCTGGAAACAATGGCGGTGGTGTCTGCGGAAACCATAAGCGTCAAGGTGTAACTAGCATATAAGAATAGCGGAAGGAACGTGCATTTCACGATTTATTCTGGGGAACCGATTCTTTCCAGCAGATTATTACGTTATAGGGGAATCAATTTTGAAGCTTCAGGAACTCGACAGCCCTATCAATTCTGTGCTTAGAAAAAGGGTACAACTTCAAAGTTTATAAAATCATAAAACGCGCAGTGTACGTACCAAGCCGCGCACAGTGTAAGTTCGCTACTGCGATCATTAGACAAATTTATGATCCAACAGTAATTGCAACTTTAGCTGAAAGGTTCCAGCGCAAGTTTTCTAAATAAGAGGTAGTTATGATCCAGTATCAGGAGCGTACTCTATTATTGACTATAAGGTTGATTTTCCCTTTGCCTGCTTTATTAGTGCAGGTTCTAATGAAATGCGGCGGTTGAGTGCAATAAATAGATTGTGTGAAGTGTACATTGTTATTATGTATCAATTTGTCGAGCACTTCAGTGGCAATATTACAGGAGCAGACCGCGAAGACAGCGATAATTAAAAATAACAAAAAAGCGCCATTGCGGCCACTTACGTGGGCTCCATGGTTCGTCCTGTTCACACGCGCTGTCAGGAGATGGCGCTCTGACAAGTTCCGCCATAAATGCTTTGAGGGAGCTGTCCAGCGACGATCGGTCGCTGCACAGTGACATCTTGAAGGCACCCCTGCTGCCACAGATTCTGGGACCTGTGCAGGACATTTATCCCATTCGATTAGATTAAATAAAGATAGATAGATAGATAGATAGATAAAAAAAAGAAACAAATTAGTGACGAAGAGATAGGCTACGCATTGTTATCAACGCACAAAAAACACGAGTGCACGACACAGGCGCTGCACTGTGTCGGGGCCAGCCATTGTAAGCGCTGAAGGTTGCTCTATAAAGCACTCTAAGCGTTTAACTGACTGTGCGAGCTGAGTGGTGTACCCTTTGTCGTGCGTATGTCGTACATTGGGCAGACGGGACGTTGCCTCAACGTCCGCCCAAGGGAGCACGCTAGCTCCCTGAATCTAGGCATCTTGCCCTCCATTTCGGGCAGTGCAGCTGTGCAGCTCAGTTAAACAAAACCCCTATGGTGATGAGGCATAGAGACCAGCACACGGGTCAAAGAGCTGAAGCGTGTGAAATTGTAAAGGCATGAGAGAGGTGCGTCAGCTAGCCTTCAACCGCTCCTACAGATGCCGAGAATTTGTGTCCACAGCATACTTGATTACGTGCTTAGGGAGGGTGGGGGGGGGGTCACTATATTTGATGTCTTCATGTTTGTATATATATGACACGTCTTTGTCATTAAACTTTATGTTCGTAACAGCATCTGTGCCGTGCAATTTCCTGTGTTTTTGTGCTATTTTTTTGCAATGATCATGATCAATATGTTACAACTAGCCAAATTCGCTACTTTACTTCAGATAGGCTACGTGGCTACAAATGCGAAAGATAAAGGAAGCTTAAATAGTATTAATACTGCTACCACGGTAATGCGGCAAAGACAGGAAAAGATGAACGACCTGGTCAATTATGAACTTGTTTATTCTGAAAGAATTCCGTTCAGCATCCCGCAGTTCACTTAGAGACACTAAAGAACAAAACTATTTTTCGCGTATGAGTGAAGTGCACTTTCAGAATACCGAAAACACTTCTCTACCACGACTCGCCGACGCTTAGTAAACGAGTAAACGCGCGAAAAGAAAATGCTAGTTGATACGCCACCTTAAAGTTCCCGCACCAAACACCACGAGGTCGAAGATTCTGAAGGCATCTACGAGGCGCTACATAGCTTTTAATCGATAAAAACGAGATACATTGTCATTTGTCGATACCATGGACCTGGCATGCGAAGTTTCAGAAATTTTCATCGAGTCAATGTCGCGAAAATACAAAAAAATCAGCTTCAAATTTTCGACGCCACGCTTGAACATTGCGACGAAAATTTCAAAATTACAACTTTAACTTTGACTCCTTCCGCAAGGAATGAATTTATGATAGTGAAACATATGGCATTAAAGTTTACAGAGAGCATTTTGTCAACGTAAATCAAGCCATTGTGTTAGGGGCGAAGGTACTTATGGCGAGACCTGGCCGGTTGTCGGGCGGCGTCGGCCGTCGATCGTCAACGTCCTCTGTACCCAGTAGCGTCTCCCTTCTCATACAATAGATGGCACTGTGCCATAGAGGCGAATATAACAGATATTGTGAGGAACCGGTTTATTCAGTCAGGCTCGAGCTAAATCACGCTGGTGATGATATTTACAGATGAAGAAGATGTACAGGTGATGATGATATCAAAGAGAATAAAGAGTCATTCGCTTGTCGCGCTCACACTAATTCCCCCGCGCGGTGAAAGCGGCCGCCTGGTCGCTTGACAGTATTATGAAATGCGTCGCGCATAAGGCTTTGAACGAGATACGTGCACTATCTCTGTTCCTCGGCAACGATGATCAGGACTAGCGCTAAGAGGAGAAACGCGGTAATTGACAGCAGATTTCTGTTCGACCACCGTGTACGGCCCAATGAAGCGACTGATGAATTTGTCGCATAGGCCGGGGACGCGTAGTGGAGTCCATAGAAGAACTTCGTCACCAGGGGAAAAACTCACAACACGGAGAGACGAGTCGTCGCGAGATTTGCGAGTGTCTTGAGAGAGGCCGGTGTTAACACGGGCCTGGTGACGGCAGTGTGCGAGACGAGATAGGAATTCTTCAGAGAAAGGAGCCGTCGAGGATGCAGGGGCCGAAAGGAAAGAGACATCCAGAGCGAAACTTGGCGAGCGACCATGGACGAGAAAAAATGGAGAAAAGCCGGTAGTGCGTTGAGCAGCCGTATTATAGGCGAATGTCCGGAAGGGTAGAATTGCATCCAACTTCGTGTGGTCGGGGTGAATGTACATGGCGATCATGTCCGATAGGGTCCGATGAAACCGTTCGGTCAATCCGTTGGTCTGCGGGTGGTAGCTAGAAGTGGTCTTGTGAACAGTGCTCGAGGCACGCAAAACTTGCTCGACAATGGAAGAGAGGAAGACTTTGCCACGATCACTCAGGAGAATACGTGGAGCTCCATGACGCAAAAAGATGTGGCGAAGAAAGAAATCGGCGATCTCAGTGGCAGTCCCAGATGGTATAGAAGCTGTTTCTGCGTAGCGGGTAAGGTGGTCGACGGCCGTGACAATCCAGCGATTCCCATTGGATGATATAGGAAGAGGGTCATACAAGTCGATTCCAACGACTTCAAAAGGCGAGGAGGGACAAGGAAGAGGTTGCATTAAGCCAGCCGGAGCAGTTGTCAGTCGTTTTCGCCGTTGGCAATGGACACAGGAGGCGACGTACTTAGCGACGGCTGAAGAGAGGCCAGGCCAAAAACAACGACTTCGTATTTTGTCGTAAGTCTTGTGATAGCCTAGATGAGCGGCGGTTGGATCATCATGGAAGGCTTCCAGATCTTCACGTTGCAGAGAACCTGGGATGACGGGTACCCACTTGTTGCCATCGATGTGGTAAATGTACCGACATAAAGCATCACCGACAAGCTTAAATTGTTTAAGTTGTCGACGGTGTCTGGCGTTTGGAGGAGTAGTAGAGCCGGTCAAGCGGTCAACAATGGTGCGGCAGTATGGGTCGACACGTTGTTGTGAAACAAGGACGGATAGGGTGGCAGGTGATGAACTTAGCGCTGCGATTGGAGAGGTGCTGTCGTTTTGGAGCATCGATGGTGAGTGGCTTCCGCTGGGCAAAGGACAGCGCGATAGAGCATCAGCATCTTGATGCTTCTTCCCAGATCTGTAGGCAACATCGAAATCATACTCCTGTAAGCGAAGCGCCCAGCGACCGAGGCGACCCGATAAGTTTTTCAGCGATGAAAGCCAGCATAGGGCGTTATGGTCGGTCACGACGGTAAAATGACGGCCGTGAAGATATGGTCGGAATCTTTGCACTACCCAAACAACATCAAGGCACTCCTGCTCGGTGATAGTGTAGTTCTTTTCTGGAGCGGTAAGAGCACAACTTGCGTAAGCAACGACGCGTTCACGTGAGTTTTTGTCACGCTGCAAGAGTACCGCACCAAGATCATGACTACTTGCGTCGGTGTGAAGGATGGTGGGTGCGGTGGAATCGAAGTGGCACAGTACCGGATCCGACGTGAGGGCTTGCTTCAATGCCGTGAAAGCGCTTTCGCAGTCTTCGAACCAAATGAAGGGGACGTTCCTTGCGAGGAGTTGATGGAGCGAAGACGCCAGTTCCACGAAGCCACGTATGAAGCGCCGGAAATAAGAAGATAACCCCAGAAAGCTGCGCAGGTCGTTTTGACGTAGTGGACGAGGAAAATCGAGGACAGCGGCAAGCTTCTCGGGGTCGGGCCGAATTCCTTCTTTGCTGACAAGGTGGCCGAGAACCTTGATTGTCTTGCTAGCAAAGGTACATTTCTTGGTGTTAAGCTGTAGACCGGCTTTTGCAAGGCATTTGAGGACTTCGTCAAGACGTTGTAGATGCTGCGAGAACGTGGATGAAAACACTACTATGTCATCGAAATAGCACAGACATGTTTTCCATTTCAAACCACGCAATACGCCGTCTATCATGCGTTCGAAGGTGGCGGGCGCATTACAGAGTCCAAAAGGCATCACATTGAACAAGTACAACCCATCTGGCGTTGAAAAGGCGGCCTTCTCTTTATCAGTCTTCATCAGTCTCCGACATTGGTATCTGCCAGTAGCCTGACCTAAGGTCGAGGCTAGAAAAATACTTTGCGCCATGTAATGAATCCAATGCATCGTCGATCCGAGGGAGGGGATAAACATCCTTGCGTGTTATTTTGTTTAGCGCATGGTAATCGACGCAGCAGAAACGCACTGTCCCATCTTTCTTTTGAACGAGAACAACTGGGGATGACCAGGGACTCGCGGAAGGACGTATGATGTTGCGTCGTAGCATGTCTGAGACGTTTTCCTCGATGATCTTGCGTTCTGCCTGAGACACGCGATATGAACGCCGATGTACAATGCGAGAGCCGTCAGTTTGGATGCTGTGAGTAGCGGTGGTAGTCATGCTGAGGGCGGGCGAGTTCACGTCAAATAGAGAACGGTGTCTATTTAACAGGGCGAGCAAATCTTCAGTTTGATCAGGTGTTAAGTCGGTGCTTATTGTTGCCGACACAGGTGTGGCAGAGGCATCGAATGGCAGTGATTGTGACTTCGGAACATCGTTGTGGTTGTTGTTCGGAAGAGTAACAATCGCAACAGGCTCACTGTCAACCACGCAAGATACTGTTGAGCCACAGGGGAGCAGTACACACTCGGGCGTTTGATTTATGGCGGTTATGTACGTAGACCCATCGAAGAAGCGAATAAGCCCTGGTGTGATCACAATGCCCCTACGTAGGGTATGACCGTAAGAGAGAATTAGTACGTCACCATCCACAATGTCGGTGCAATTAACACTTATAATTTCTTCGATGTATGGCCGAAGTACATAATCTGACTTGGTGACAAGGCGGATGCGTCCATCGTGTTCAAGCGGAGAAGATTCAGTGGCATTTAGATGCAGGAGGCGCTGATGACAAGATATAAAAGCGGACGCAGAAGACAAGAAATCCTACCTCAGAATGAGAGCGTGGGTGCACTCACGAAATACCGCGAAAACAATGTGATGACGAATGCCTTCTATGCAGACACGAACGGTACACTGTGCAAGTG